CCGGGACCCGGGCGGCGGGAGGGCCGGGTCCTGGGCCGGCGGGAGAGGCTGCGCGGAGCTCCTCTTCTCCTCTTCCCAGAGCTTTGTTGAACTAGCTGTTGCTGCAAGGCTGCCGGGAGAATCCCATTGGATTGCGGTGGGGACCCCAAAAATGTTGGTCCTGGGGGCCCGTTTGCATAAACAACCTGGTACTGTGTGCATTCTTTGCGTGCGACCCAGTTTGTGCCTTCGTAGCGGGAATCTTCTCCATACAGGCCCTTTATCCCTCTGCAGTTATTACTTGTAGCTTCGCTTTATTTTAAATCATGCAAAAGAGAAGAAACGTCTATCTCCCTTCTCTGCCGGCTAAGTCGGTGGCAGGTTCTTTGGCCTCGTAGCAAATAAAAACACTCAACCCAAAGTAAAGCCTGTTGATCGCACAAGGCTTGTCAAAATTTGTATTGCTGGTCTCACGGAAATGTGTCTTGTCAGCCGGTCTGTGCGGTGGTCGCGGTTCCGCTGAATTGTGCTGCAATGAGAGGAGTCTATCCCCACCCCAGGCTGTGGGATCTGCGGCTTCCAGAGCTGGCAGGGGCTGTGAGTGCTGCATAGGTAGGTTCTTGGACAAGGGAGTGGCAAGAATTCGAGCCACTGCGTTCCAGAGATTGGAGGAAACCATGAAAATGAGAAGACATTTGCTGCTTCTATCCTAGAACCAATGGCAACAACAAAAGTTTCTAAACTGGCAACAGCTGGATGTGCATCTGTCTTCCTTTACCTGCAGTGAGTTCCTGAAAGGAGTGTTGGAAGAAGAGAAAAAGGAGAACAATCTTGGACAAAGCGCTCATCCTGGACTAGACCTGGATCTTAGGGTTTCACTTACTGCCCAGTTCACAAGGCTTAATTGGTTTCCTTTTTTCAGTTCTTATTTATAACCCGGGATGAAGCTTGGGGCTCAGATTATTTCAAAAAAGTCACCTTCTGAAACTTTTTCAGTATTTACAGCTTGAATTTTAAAAATAACAAATACAGCATCTGATGACTTTAATTTTTTTCAAAAATACTTGGGTCATCCAGAAAGCCTATGCCTGAACGCAAGCTGAATTTTTATCTCCAAGTGGAAAAGCCACTCCACCTTCCCTTTTCCACACTGAAGAAAAGTCCCAGAAGAGCCAGTAAACAATTTGCACGTTTCCTGCGTGTGCTTTTTTAACAATGGCATGCTTCTTACTTCCATAAACAATATTAAATAATAAACTTTTACTTATGTTGTCATTTCTTAGCACACTGAGACAAACATAATTGTAGAACTGTTCCTGCCTCTTGAAATTGAAAATGTTAAATTTTAAACTCCAAAATCATGGAATTCAGGAGAATGTGTTTTAGCACCTCTTTTACATTTGCCAACGTTTAATGTAATTATGTTTTCTAACGTGAAAAGCAAACCTAATTTTTTTTTCATTAATCTTCACAATCTTCTCCCTACCCCTGAACTCTGAATTTATCTTGGATAATATTTAAGACCTGGAAGAAACATCAGGGGTTCATCCAACCTTGTATGAATGTTGCCTGAATTCTGCCTCTTTCATCCTGTTGCTTGAGACTTCTTTATCTGGTATCATCTTTCTTTTATGACTCAGCCACCACAACTAACCCCTGAGCTGCAATAATACCCTGATTTAAAGAGCCTAGAAATTCTGGGCCAATAGCCTTCCTAATCTGGGAGTACTGTAGTCCATGCTGTTTCTCAAGCTCATGGCTGCCCCAGCCCATTAGTGAATTAGATTTGTGTTCAGGTCCCATTCATTTTTTTTTCTACAGATATTTAATCCTATAATTATGAAGTGCTCTTTGGTATCTTTAAGAAGATTTAGGACTGGAGGTGTAGCTCAGTAGCAGAACACTTGCCTCTCAGGTATTAAGACCCTGGGTTCAATTCCCAGTACCAAAAAGAAAAAAAAAAGAAGGAAAAATTAAACTATATCAGGCCTAATTCTCACACACAATGTCCACACCAGCGTGTTTTCTGTGTTGGCCTGCCTCTGAGGGACAGTTGCTAATTTCTGTTCCTTTTTGCACCTGTTTTTTTTTTTTTTTTCAATAGTGCACTAGTTTTTCAGAGCAGTCAGGTGTGAGACAGGAGGGCTTTTTCATACCTATGAAGTCTTTCTTATACTGTCTGCAGAGACACTTGCTCCTGTTCCAACCACATTGCTCAACTCTGTTCTGAGTTTTGATTGCCAAGGGCAGGCCTGCTTGTAAGTCTCAGAACCTGCCTTTGCTTATGTTTAAAAGTGCATCTTGTTTTGACCACAGATTGATGTCTGTGTTTATGAGATTGAAGAAGTGTTTTTTGGTTTTGCCATTATTTCTCAAAACGTTCTTTGCCAAACCCATTAGACATGAAAAGCATTTAACTGGAGGGCTCAAGCTGTTTTGATTCTTTGGTATCGTTGGCCTCTGAAAACCAAAGTGGCCTATATATTTTTCTGATAAACTCTATGTTGTAATGCCAGTGAGATGATGTTCCATTCCAATAGATATAATCCCCTGTGACCCACCTTCACCCATTTTGGAGTCAGCACCATTTGGGTAGGAAGGAGAGGATAGTGATTCCATTCAAGAAAAATTAGTATTTAAATGCAGGAACATGAAAACTGGCTGTTATCTATCCATGAGACCTAACCTTATATCCCCTTCAATCCCCTGAAAAAGCCTTTTGAGCAAGCAGTTTCCCATTTTGCCTTTGACCAATTGGTTTCTTTACTTCATTCCAGTGTCTCTTACTCGCAAGTTCAATCTTCAGTTCACTTCCCAGGGAGTGGAGAAGTACTTTTTGTACTTCTTTTCTTGATCTTGTAAATCATTCTTGGCAATATCTTTTTTCTTCTGTTTTCAATTTAGGCTTACCTTTGTGTTGCATTTTATCTAAGTGTACAAATAAGTCTTTTTTATGTTAATTTATGAAAGTTTCCCTTGTTAATCCAATTCATCTTTTCATACTTATTATTTGTACTTACCTGAAGGAATTACTGCTATGTCATTGAAGGATACTTCACTATTTCTAAATCCCATTTATAATGATGAAAGTAAAATAAAATGGAAATAAATGACCGATCAGGTCAACTTTTAAGCATTTGACTAACTGTATGAGAATGTTTTCAAACTATTTAACACTTTATTTTATTTATCCTGCAAAGACTTTTCCTGAAAGACTTGACACTGCTTGTCCTAAAGTCCTTGAAAGACTTGACAATCCAGTGCTGTGTACCGCCATGTTATCTTCAAAGTCAAATGCACATCTAAACTTGAATGCCAAAAGAAGTTCTAAAAATTCAATATGATATATAGAACATTTAAATTATTAATTCTTCTAATCAATAAAAATCTTAAAATCATACAGATTTCATCACCTGTAGACAAATGAAAGTTCTCCATGTTTTTCACCTAGCCTTTAAAAAAGGCTTGTTAGTGGTGAAAACTCACATGACTCACTACTGAGAAGTGTAGCTACTTTTATATTTCTACAAACTAAAAAATTAAAAAGTCTTTAATATCTGTATACCGTTACTATTTTTGTTTAAGTTGCAATAAATTTTACTGGTTCTCCAATCCACTTGGTAGGATTTTGTGGTCTTCAAGCATTTGGTGTAATCTGTCTTCCTCTGCATCTTGCTTTACCTGTGCATCTTGTAACCATGATTGAACCTACCCCTCTGACTTCATGTCAGTTTCTGCCCTGTCTCTATGTTGTTGGTCCTGTTGGCATTTCAGAAATTCTCATTAATTTTGGAATTAATTTTTATCCAGGAAGTATTTTATATACTTCTCCAAATGACAACTGTGACTCAAATCTAATTAAGCTTAACACGCCTCCTACAATTTCAACCCCAGTATAATTACAACCAGAATGAGGAGGTGACAAGACACTCCTCTATTTCTTGCTGCCCTTCCAGTCGGCCCTTGGATCGCTACGCATTCCACCTGGAAGGTTGCCTCTCCACAGATTTCGCGTTACAGGAGGGTTTTCCTTCTTTATTTCTCAGACCTGGTCCTGTAGACGGGAAGGAGCCTGGACACAGTGACACATTCTCAAAGGCCCTGCAGGACCGCCATGGCTTATGATGACTCCATGAAGAAAGAAGGTATGACCCCTTTACCTGAGAAGCGTTCCAAAGGGGGTATCCTCTTCAGTGCTCGCGGCCCAAGGATGTAGAAACCAGCACTGGACATCACAGCCTAGACTCCCAAGTGATGGTCCAGAGCACTGTTATGACCTCAGCCTCCACGCCCTCCCCAGACTGGGCCCATGGAAATGAAAACCAGGACAGGGGTTCCAACATGAGAGTCTGAAATATGAGCCTTGGTTTGTTGGGGTGATCCCCTGCAGCACTCTTGGTCCTGCCAGCTCCAGTGCAGGAGTCTGGGGATAGGAATCACACATTGGACGCCCACAGAGCAGCGCAGCACAGGAATCATTACTTTCAGCCTTACCTCTGCAAGTCTGTCTACCTGTCAAATCACAACTAAGAAACTATGTCTGAGGATGCACTTTGGGTCTTGCATAGCATGGAAACATTGTTTCTTCAGGTTTGATTCTTGTGTTTGCAGCCAGGTCATGAAGAAATATTCTTTTCCCTCTGGGTTTAGCCCTATATTCTAGTGAACTTATTGAAACATAATTGTAATTTAGAAATGGAGGCACTGTTACATTTGGTTGCTACTTACTTGTCATTCTCACTTCCTTTTCCAAATTAACCTTTGCTCAGATTGCTTTGATGGTGACCACAGCTTTGAGGACATAGGACTTGCAGCTGGCCGAAGCCAACGAGAAAAGAAACGTTCTTACAAAGATTTCTTAAGGGAAGAGGAAGAAATTGCTGCTCAGGTCAGGAATTCTTCCAAGAAGAAGTTTAAGGTAAGTTCTAAACATTTAAGATAGAAAAATTTTTATACTTATTTTCCTAATATTTGAAAATGAAAGTGTGTTCTTAAAACTTTAGGAAAGAAAAATAAACATTGTTGACATGTAATTATTTTCCATGCTTTACTTTGTTTTCCAAAGTCAAAAACCGTCAAAGAACGAGTGTTGTTCCAAACTGCCTTCTTCATCTCATTATTGGCCAATTCTTCCTTCTAATTGCAGGATAGTGAGCTTTACTTCTTGGGGACGGACACACACAAGAAGAAGCGGAAGCACTCCTCTGATGACTACTACTATGCAGGTACGGATGGGCAGGGCGACAGGCGGGACAAGCACATCACTGGTTCTTGGAGTCGGGGTAGGGGAAAAGGTCCAGATGTTGCTGACTCAGTGGCCTATTTAACAGGACAGTGGTTCTTGTTCTGAGTGCCGATAAACCAGTGTGAAGGAGGAGAGAGGTGGAGGGCTGGTATTTTGGAGGATTCAGCATAGAAGAACAGTCTTCATTTGTGATATACCAGGTACCAGGTTCCTTCTCCCCCGTCATCCACTTATCTTGCACCATGTTATCTAGCCTCCCTTTTGCCACATGTGGTCCTTGGGCCCTCTGGCCTGCAACTGTGGGTCTTTTCTCAACCAGGGTATATCCATTCACAAAACCAGTTAGCTTTCTTGGCTGTGCTATGCACATAGCTGATGGGACTAATGTTTTACCTTAATGAGTTTCTCCTGAGCACAGAATCAAATGATACTTTACTTGCGATCTAATGTAAATCATAACTACCCCTAATCCACAGCTATAGTCGGTTCTTCTGGGTTTGCTCTCTGGTTGCTTGTGGAAGACTCAGTGAAGGGAAACAACTTTAGTGACAAGGATGGTCTCAAGGGTTGAAGACTACCAAACCAGGAGGCACATGGGCGTCATCGCTGAACATTAGGAATCAAAGGGTGTCCCTTCAAATCACTCCTGTTAGCCTCTTCCTCATACTAGTCGGGTGTTTTGGTGAGAGAGGAAATTTGATGGACGTTGCTGCTTGTCCTGTTGACAGTACTTCTCTTCATTATTTCCAGACATTTCGTCTCTGGAATCGTCACAAAAGAAAAAGAAGAAGTCCAGCCCACAGCCTGCCGATACAGCTATGGACCTGTTGAAAGCCATCACCTCCCCACTGGCCACCGGCTCCAAGCCCTCCAAAAAGGCCGGGGAGAAGTCCTCCAGCTCCTCAAGCCACTCAGAAAGCAAGAAAGAACACCACCGGAAGAAAGGCAGCGGAAGTGGCGGGGAGCTCTCCCTGGAGGACGGCAGCTCCCACAAATCCAAAAAAATGAAGCCCCTCTATGTAAACACAGAGACACTGACCCTCCGTGAGCCTGATGGCTTGAAGATGAAACTTATTCTCTCACCCAAGGAGAAGGGAAGCAGCTCAGTTGATGAGGAGTCTTTTCAGTACCCCTCTCAACAAGCGACTCTGAAAAAATCCTCCAAGAAGTCAGCTCGGGATGAGCAAGGTGCTTTACTCCTAGGACACGAGTTACAGAGCTTTCTGAAAACCGCTCGGAAGAAGCACAAGTCATCCTCAGACCCACATTCGTCTCCTGGCCCTGAAGGCTGCGGGCCTGATGCCTCCCAGGCCCCCGAACCCCACAGTGCTAACCTTGATCTTTCAGGGCTTGAACCTATTCTGGTGGAATCAGACTCGTCCTCTGGCGGGGAGCTAGAAGCTGGCGAGTTAGTGATAGATGATTCTTACCGGGAAATCAAGAAGAAAAAGAAGTCAAAGAAGAGCAAAAAGAAGAAGGACAAGGAGAAGCACAAAGAGAGGAGGCACTCAAAGTCCAAGAGAAGTTCGGGACTGTCTACTGCAGCAGTGGGAGAGGTCACGATGACACCCGGCCCTCCCCCCAGCGTCCCACACGCTGGAGCCACCGCCCCTGCCCCACCACCTCCCAGCTTCCACACAGATGGGCACAGTGAGAAAAAAAAGAAGAAAGAAGAGAAGGACAGAGAAAGAGAAAGGGGGGAAAAGGTAACATGTTTTTTGAAGGGGGGACAGTGGGTAGGGGATGAGACAAGTTCTTCACATAGGAAGTGGACTTGGAGTTCCGCAGCCAAGGTGCACCTAGGCAAGCGCAGAGGGTCAGGGCATCGTGGAATGATACCAGTAGCCAAGTCTATCTGGTACACGAAGAAGAACCAATCCCAATTTGAATTACTAATGGTTCTCCTTAGCAGAGTTGTCCTCCCGTCGTGCCAGTCTGGGCTTAGACTGCTGTGGCTTCTCCTGGTCGTCTCTGAATTCATGGGAAGAGCTGAGCCAGCCCCTTTCCTTTCCCTTAGCAGCAACTGTCTGGCAGTTGGGACACAGAAAGGTGTCCTCTGAGTTCATTTTAAAACTTTTTTTTTTTTTTTTAAGAGAGAGAGAGAGATAATTTTTTAATATTTATTTTTCAGTTTTCGGTGGACACAACATCTTTATTTTATTTTATGTGGTGCTGAGGATCGAACCCAGCGCCCCACGCATGCCAGGCGAGCGCGTTACCACTTGAGCCACATCCCCAGCCCCAACTTTTTTTTTTTAAATGTCCTTTCAAAATTAGTAGAACAGTGACCAGTTAAGTTACAACAATTGGATTTTAGGGTCTGATGGCTATGTTGCTAAAGGTTTTCTTTTAAAAATGAGCTTTTTGTCCCTGTTATGGAGTGATATATAGAAATTTACAAACTGAGAAAACAAAGCAAAGAAGTCTTATTCTGAAAATAAATATATTAAGAATTTGAGAATGGAAATTTCATTTCTATCTATGAGGTACAAGTTATTTTCCCCACTTACAAGGTGCCTTTTAAGATAAAGAGGAGAGAGAGAATGTGTACACACTTCAGAGTGGGGAGAACAAAACTAACCTCTGAGCCAAGATTCAGTGTGAGCCTAAAAATCTGTATATTTAAATGCTAAGGCAGGTTTTATCCATCTGTCTGTCTGAAAGTTGCTTCATGAAGTACAAAGTATATACTCTATATGATTCTGTTGTCCCTAAGACTTTCCATTCTAGTGATATATGACAGTGCCATAAGCTAATCTCACAGTGCTGAATGTGGAGGTGCAGGGTCATCAGAAAGCTAGAAGAAAAGAAAGGGTGTGGGTGGGAGGGAACACACAGAGGAAGAGAGGTATTTAGGAACCAGCCTAGAAAAATACCTGACCCCCAGGCCTGTGTTTCCATCCGCCTGGTAGATATCTCCGTGTGGATGCCTTGGGTACCTCAAACCCCTGTATTGCTAATTGAGTTTGTCAACCAGGCCCCAAGCCCCCGTCTCCTCCATTTCCTTCTATATGTCCTGTGTCCTGCCAAACAACCCAAACTTCATTCTGTGTACTTAGATTTTTCTCAATATTTTATTATGAAATTTTTTTCAAACAGTAAGAATTGAAAGATTGTATGATGACACCATATACCTCCTTTGAGGGTCTCCAGTTCATATTTTGCTTTCTGCTTTATCATAGCTCCATCCACCAGTCCATCTTACCTTTTTTAATGTAGTTCAAAGTAAATTGTGGGTAGAGTACACTTTACCCCTAAGCACTTCAGCTTGACGTCAGTGTTTTCAGGGCTTTCTTTGTTCTATGAAATTCACATAAAATGAGAGAGGTTAGGTGGACATTTGTTGAGTTTTGATAAATGCACAACCTGTGTGACCAGACTTCTGTCAGGATATAGACCTTACCATTGAGCCAGAGAGCTCCCTCCCACTCCCTTCCTGGCCAGTCCCGCCCCCAGAGCCAGCTGCCACTCATTTGTCTTCTAACTTCATGATTGGCTTTTGTTCTCTAGTCTTCCTCGATGACTTTTAAGCCTTTATTCATTGCCACTATCTTGGGCCTCATCCCTCCCTGTACTTGTGTGACAGATGGCTTCCTTTCCGCTGCTTCCCTTATGCAGTTCATCTTACACATTGGTTCCAGAGTGCTCTTAGGTACCCCTGCGATGACGAGTCCTCTGTGGGACCCTTACTACTGCGTGGGAGGCTGTGAGCTGCGAGAGCTCCAGCCCCGTGGCTCTCCTGCTCTCCGCTCTGCCTGTGCCTGTCCAGCCTCTGGCCCTTTGTAGATAGTCAGTAAGCACTTGTTGGATAAATAAACATCAAGGTCCAGACCTTGGCAAGCATTCATCATTGTCTGGATTTAGCCCTAAACCTACTTTTTCAGCGGCTTTCCCTCTTATTGGTTTATTTTATATACCGTGTGTGGAAATCAAACTTTTTCTCACACATTCTCATTTCTCTTCTTTTCCTCATTTTTGCAGTGACTTTCCCCTTCTCACACATCCAAGCTCTGCCTTCTCTTCAAGACCTTAGCACATGCCACCTCTTCTAAGACATCCCAAACCCATGTCAGAATTCACTTGTGAACTTCCTGGAACAACTTCCTTTCTTGTTGCATTTATTTTCTTCCTTATATTAGAGCTATCTTTGTAAGTATTCCCTCTGCCCTGTTAGACACCATAAGCTCCTTAATGATAAGCACTGTTTTAGTCAATGTCACTTTAACTCCTCCGTGTCCTTCATAAGCATTTGGTAAGTTTATGTCAGGTGCAAGAATATATGGATGGAAACATGGTGTTGAAAAGGCCAGGGTGGGAGCAAACTGTGGAGAAGCTTTCATACCAAAATGAGGAACTTGGCGAGTTGTGGTTTATGAGCAAGCTTTAGATGTGATCCAAATGATAATTTAAAAATGAAATGATAGAACTGTACAAGATGTGTTAGACTGTGACAACACTCAGGAGTTGCGATAGTCCAGAAGGTCTACAGGGAAACCCTCAGGGAAAGTTGAAGAGAGAGATTCAGAAAAGACTGAGGAGAGTGGAAGAGATCAGGCTTGCATCAGGGAAGCTGGAAACAAATGAGTATGGGGGGCAGCCCTTAACGCTTTGAACCTGGTGCTTTGGAAAACAGTAAGCTTCTCAGGGTTAGAGACTTGCCCTGCTGTAATGCCCTGGGTGGTAGCAAGTGCTAAGAATTTTAGTTCTAAGCAAGAACCTTAACATGAATTAATATTTGATAGTGACTGTCTAAAATGTCAGAAATAGTCTAACTCTGAATCTAATATTTATTTAGTCAAAAAATATTTATGGTGCATATATCATGTTTTTTTGAGCCTAACTTGAGCATAAAATTTTCCTGTGATGCTTTTAAAGAGTATCCTTTTCCTAGGTTTGTTTCATATTAAAAAAAAAAAAATCTTAAAAGTTGGGAACAGAGTCTAACCAGAGAGAGAAGAAGCGCTCAGGGATAGCGTTCCCCCAGCCTGCAGTGAGCAGAGGCTGAAGAGCCACCCTAGAAGTGCTGATAACGAGGACTGACGAGAAGAGAGAAGCTGAGGAGCAGAGCTGGTGTGGCAGGAGATAACATAGACTCAGGACAGCTGCAGAGCTGAGTGTTTGAGGGCAGACTATGGAGCCAGACTGCGTGGTCCAGACCCTGGCTGTGCGCTTGCGGTATTAGGATTGTACCCCAGCCCTTTTTATTTTATTTTGAGACAGAGTCTCACTAAGTTGCCGAAGCTGGCCTTGAACTTGGGATCCTCCTGCCTTGGCTTGTTGAGTATTTGGGAATACAGGGATGTGCCACAGCACCCAGCTGAAAGCAAATTCCAGTTCATGGAGAACTCATTGAGTATCTTGGTGTTGGAGATTTGCCCTCTTGAAGAGAAGTGTGAAGGATTTTTTTTTTTTTTTTTTTTTTTGAGAAGCAGAGTGTAATAAAGTGGTACAAAGCTTGGACTGGGATTCAGCAGACTTGAATTCTTATCTGTCTGCTATTTGGCAGCTATGTTCCCTTGAGATTGCTCCCTCAGTTCTCTGCTCATTAGTAAAATGGGGTTTTTTTTTATGTTAAATAGTGGTACATGTAACACTTAGCATAGGGCATGACTCAGTAAATATTAGCTGCTGTTACAACTGCTGTTGCTTGCTTCTCAAGTTCTGCGAAAACTTAAAGTATGTGCAAAATTGTCTTTCAAACTTCTTTTTTGGCCACTCATTCCACATATTGGTTGACTAAGCTAGGAGACTGTTTTTATGCATCTAATAACCCCTTCAGAGTAATACCCCAAACTCTGCAAGATCTCACTTATTTAGGAAAACAAGTAAGAGCTCAAAGAAAACAAGGACTCTAAAAAGCAAAAGCAGATATTATAAAATGATAGTCCCACAATGCATCAGAGTTCATTGGAGAACTTAATGGTCTCTGGGGGAGACTGTGACCCCTCTGACTCTCTTCCTTTTTGAATTGGGGAATTAGTAACCAGTGTTTTACTTACAAGGGTGTGGAAAAAAATCAGGTTGAGGTGATGGCAATACCCATACACTCTGACCTCTCCCCATGCAGTTCTGAGGCTTTTTATTCATCCAGTACAGATTTTTTCTGCACTTAGATAGTGTTAGGCACTTTCCAGATGCTAAGAGTACAAAAAGAAATAAGACACAGTATCTGTTGTCAAAGATCTTCATTTCTGTTAAGAGAGATCAGAAAATATTCGGTATGTTGAACTGCAGCATAGGCATGAGCAGAGGGCTGAGGAGGACAAGGAGCCTACATGACAGGTTCCCTGGGACAGGTATCATTGGAACCAAATCTTAAGGCCGAGTAGAAATTATCAGATGGGAAAAGAAACAGGCACTTCAGTCAGCAGATGGAAAACATCTGTGTAGATGCGGAGACATGAGTGGGCATAGAGTGATCATAGGAGTTGGCACAGCAGGTAGGAAGAGCTGCTGCAAGGCGTGCCCAGGAAGTAGGGAAGAGCTGAGCAGGAGTTGGGAAATCATAGCCACGATGGCCGTATTGGGGCTCTTAGGTATGTTGTAGGTGTTTTCATCCCATTTCACAGAAATAAGAGCAGAGAAGTGAAATCACCAGTCCCAGGATGCACACTGCTAAATGCAGAACAGGAATTTGGACTCATTTTTCTAATTGCCAATCTGTGCTCTTTTCACTTGCAGAAAGAGTGTTGTAAGTTATATTCAG